AATAAAATAAAATAAAATAAAATAAAATAAAATAAAATAAAATAAAATAAAAGCAGAAACCCACATCTGATATTTTGTGGGTTCTGGCTTTTTGTTTTGTTTTAAGAAAAGCTAACAGCTTCATGGCCTGAAAAAGCTTGAAAGACTTGGAGTCTCTTTGACACCAAGTGTGGTGACCTGATTCACTCCAAATATTTTAAACTCCAGGATCTTCTCGGCATCATCTGAGCAAAACATTTGGAACATCTCTTGGTGAACATCTTTCTTTGCTTTCAGTATCTGAATAGGATGGGACAGATTCACCCACACCGTGCCTGCATTTTATAAACGATGAACAAAAGCCACATCCAACCTTATACTAAGCGGGCCTCTACCTAATGCATAATAGAGATAATATGGTGTCTTGACTCTAACAAAACTTGCGACCACCCATTTGAGACTGACTGTGGTAGACAGTCAGTCTTCGAGGCCTGTTTGGAAAGTCCACAACGGAGCCAACTGTGATGACCTGGGGCATGGCACAAAGGCAACCCAGCCAGATAATAAGTAGAGGTCCCTTTATTAGCTCCAACTTTGCCCCCCCCATGTTCCAGTTACCTTCCGGTTTGGAGAAAAACTCACCCAGGAAGCTGCAACTGCCTTTGGCTGCACATATTCCAATCCAAAATAGTATAAACAAAAAAACTTTAAGCTATATATTCAACAAAGCAAGATAAAGTAATAAATCTGGCAGGGCAAGATAAGAAGTTATAGAAGTGAGGTAACATAGCAGTAAATCCAATCTGTTGGGAGGATGCCAGGAATTCAGATAACAGCAGCCAACATTAGATAAACTCAATGTTTGTTCCCGACAACCGTCCATCCCATCTGCCTCTCCTTTAAACTCCCTCCACAAGTGTGCCTTGTGAAGGGAATCAGGGCCCTTTCCTCCCTCGTTAATCCATGCAACCCATGTTGCTCTCTTCTCTCTTCTTCCCTGCATGCCCTAGGATAAAGAGGGGGCGGGCCTGGATCTTCCTCTGAATTCCCTCTCCCTTGTTCTACTTCTCCCCTGCTCTGCCCAGCCGGATTTTGCCCTTCCCCAGTTTCCTCCACAGCCAACGGAGCCACACTCCCATTCCCTGTCAGCTGTTCATCTTCCTCCTCAGATTCAGACTCCAATGGGGACATGACACCAACCTCCAGAATTTGCCATTTCTCCATCCCCACTTGGGCTGACTGCATTTTGTATGTGTGTGATTTGTAGAATGCATAGCTCCTGATGCCTTGAGAAGAGTGTCCCAAAGGTGCCACAAGAAGAGGAATTGCACCCTTGTTGCTAGCACGGCTACATTTGGAGACCCTTGCTTCCCGGGGGTGAAGAAACAATTGAGAGTGTCCTACACTTGCGGTAAGTAGGACAGCAAATTAACCTGCCGATATTTGAGGTGGGAAGGACGCGCAACTGACAAGCTAAGTGGTCAGTTGGTCCAGTTCTCCATTCCAAGCTAGACCTGTTTAGGGCTTTGGCATAGAGATATCACTTAGCAATAGCTCTTAGTCTTATATATCACTTCACAGTGCTTTCATAGCCCTCTCTAAGCAGTGTACAGAGTCAGCCTATTTTTCCCAAATAATCTGGGTCCTCGTTTTACCCACATCGGAAGGATGGAAGGCTGAGTCAACCTTGAACCAGTCAAGATCAAACTGCTGGCAGTGGGCAGAATTAACCTGCAACACTGCGTTCTAACCCTGGGGAGGGAAAGAGGGAGGGAGGGGGGAAGGGCAATAGCAATAGCATTTAGACTTATATACTGCTTCACAGTGCTGTGAAGGTCACCAGCAGTTTTTCATTCAGTTGTTGTTTTCTGAGAAGTCTCAGATAGTATAATCTCTACTGGGCCCTTTTGACCAGGGCTGCAATGTGAGCACCCCAGGTCAGGTCCTCTTTTAGGGTAACACCCAGAAACTTAAAACTGGCCACTTGATCCACTCTGCCTCCATTGATAAGCAAGGGCTGGATGTCTGATCTGTTCCTTTTATAATCCACTATAAGCTCCTTGGTCTTATTGGTGTTGAGGACCAAGTTATTGTCTCCACACCACGAAAGCAACTGGTCCACCTCATCTCAGTGGGCAGACTCCTCCCCCCTGGACATAAGTCCCACCACTTTTTTTTCATGTATGTTAAGATGGCCCCTGGAAATGATAATTATTATACAATATTTTGTTTGCTTTTCCCATCACCTGCACTCCTGTGTGTCTTTCAGTGCCAAGGCAGTTGCTAGAAGAAGCAACACGTGAATCCCGGGAAGACCCCTTCTCAATCTCAGATTACACCCATGGTAATTATTCCGCCTTGATTTTAATCCACAGTACGTCTCTGGATAGGAGAAGTACCTGGGAAAAGCCTCCTCCCCAAAAACCTTTTCTTACATCCATGGAGATTCTCAATCATCTAGGTCAGGGGTCTTCAAAACTTTAAGACTTGTGGACTTCAACTCCCAGAACTCCTCCTCTGGTCATGTTAGCTCAGGAATTCTGGGAGTTGAAGTCCACAAGTCTTACACTTGCCAAGTTTGAAGACCCTTGCTCTAGGTTATCGTTGTCCCAAAGGTCCTTTTTCAAAAGGCAACTGGACTTTCTTAGATTTTTTTTCCCTTTGAAAATGTTTCACTTCTCATCTAAGAACTGAACTAAAAGAAGCTTCTTGGATGAGAGGTGAAATGTTTTTGAAAAAAAACAACCCAAGAAAGTTCAGTTGCCTTTTGAAAAAGCACTTTTGGGATTATCTTCTCTAATATCAAATGCAGTGGTAGGATTCAATGTTTTTTTACTACTCGTTCTGTGGGCATGGCTTGGTGGGCATGGCAGGGGAGGAATACTGTAAAATCCCATTCTCTCCCCACCAGAGGTGGTATTCACCAGGTTCTGACCAGTTCTGGAGAAACGGTAGTGGAAATTTTGAGTCGTTTGGAGAACCAGCAAAAACCACCTCTGACTGGCTCCACCCCATCTATTCTTTGCCTCCCAAGCCCCAGCTGATTGGCTGGGTCTTCTTTTGTTGCCCTGCACGGGAGAAGGGAGCTGGAAAGCAGGTTAGTTGGGGTGGGGAGGGAATGGAGATTTTACACTATCCTTCCTCTGGAATGGGGTGGGAATGGAGATTTTGCAGTATTCTTCTCCTGCCATGCCCACCAAGCCATGCCCACAGAACCAGTAGTAACAAATTTTGAATCCCACTACTGCTCCCCACCCCACTAACCTGCTTTCCAGCTCCGTTCTCCTGTGCAGGACAACAAAAGGAGACCCAGCCGATCAGGTGGGACTCGATGGGAGGCAGAGAATAGACGGGGGCAGGGCCAGTCAGAGGTGGTATTGGCCGGTTCTCTTAATGACTCAAAGTTTCCGCTACCATTTCTCCAGAACCAGTCAGAACTGGCTGAACACCATCTCTGATCAAATGGTGTAGAGATAACAGTCCTTGAATTCATGAATGCCGAGGAGAAATCTGGGACCACTATGTGGCTGCAGAGGAGTAGAAGAGAACAGCGGTGTGTACATGAAGCTCCAAAGTTTGCTACAAGGACTTAACTCCCTCCCATTCAAGAAATAGTTCCATAGAGACTGGACCTGGTTAGCAGCCATCCAAGGCAAAACCAGAGTTGGATAGGAAACCTAGTACATTTGGAGAAAGACCCCAAAAAAAATATTTGAACAAAGCCAGCCAATCACAGGCTGGAAACATGAACCGACTCAATTGGAGGGATGATGCTCTTGCTACATTTTTCCATAGGTTCCATCAGGTCTTCAGGTAACAGGCCAAGTTTTCACAGCCTGTTTTCCACACAGAATAGAAAGTCACTGTAAAAAGGGTGGGTGCCCCTGGGATGATTTTCCCAAAGGGGTGCCTTTTATTTGGGAATTCTGGGACCCAAATATTTTATTTATTTTACTTATTTATTTGATTTGTCAATCGCTTACAAGATAATACCCTGTTTCTCCAACAATGCGGCCTCCCCCAATAGGAAGTCCCAGCATGTTTTATAGGCATGAAATGAAATTAAGTCCCTCCCCCAAATTAAGGCCTATATTAAAACATGCGGGGGGGGGGGGGGGGGGGGGGGGGGGGCTTACTGTTAGGAAGTACTTTTGTTGCACACCCGAATATGGTGCTGCCTGCGTTGACCCTGATACAAAGTACCCCACCAACGCCAAAAAAAAGACCCGGCCTTATTATATGAGAAACACAGTAGGTATAAGTATAAACATGAATAAGAATACAGGAAATAGGTACGAATAAATGGGGACAATAGGACAAGGACAGTAGGCACAATTGTGCACTTATGCATGCCCCTTACAGACCTGTTAGGAATGGGGTGAGGTCAATAGTGGATAGTTCAAGGGTAAAGGAGTGGGGGGGGGTTAGAGGATGTAACAACAATATCTAGCCCAGTTGGGCAAAATTTGCCCTGGAGAAAATCCTGTGGAGGTCAACCCAAGGAAAGGAAGGAAGATGCTTCCTTGTGCCTCTTCTGTGTCCCATCCTATAAAGAACTCTTGACATCCTCCAGATGTTGCCATGGTCCATCTCTCAGCACCAGTTGGATTGAACCAGGGTGAGCCGTCCTGGGATTGGTAGCTCAGCAAGGTCTGAAGGATCTCAAATTCTCCACCCTCCGTCTGCCAAATGGAGGGGAGAAGCCCTCCCTCAGTAGCAGTAGGAAGTGCTTAAGAAATGCAAGCAACATATTGTTGTCCTCCCTCAGCGAAATCCATTCTCCAGCTTCTGAATCCAGCATCTCTTTCGATTCCCTTTGCCCTGAAGAGAACAGAATTCCCAGTGGGATTCTGCTCCCCAAGTGGCTCTTTTCTGATTTCCCCATGGCATGAGATTTCCGTTGGGCTCCCCAAGGGAAAACTGCATTCCCTCAAGAGCCCTGTTGTATTTCCATAGATAATAAACCTGTAGCAGCCTGTAGCGCTGACATAATTCCCTCCTATTAGAACATAATCCCTTCCTGGGATCTTGCTACTGGAACATGGAGGCAGGTTGCCAAATAATAGCAAAAATGATTTCCTACTGGCTTCTGATGGGAAATGAAATGACTGAATTCCCACCATGTCATAAGCTTGGTTAAAGGGTTGCTTGGTGCTTTTGTAGTCGATGGCATACTAGCATGTCGTACATAGCAGACTATTAGGTTCACTGTAGTGTGGCAAGCCAGAAGTGCATTAATCTGGTAACCACATTGGGACAACGGGGCTGTTATAACTGTGAACAGATCTAGCGGAGTGTCATGCCTGAGGTTGCCTGCAGTCAGTCTGTGCAAATAGAGTCGTAAATATCTCTTCCATTTTTGCACAGTTTAGAACAGGGGTATCCAACTCAAGGCCCGGGGCCCAGATCTGGCTCATGGGCCCACCCTGGAAATAGTGAAGGACCAGCCTGTGGTGCCTCTGCCAGCGAAAAGGGAGCTGAGGAGTCCATGCGTGGCCCACCTGAGCTCCATTTTTGCTGGCTATCATGGCCAAAAATAGAGCCCAGGAAGGCTGTCGTGGCCAAAAACGGAGCCTCAATGTGTGACATCAAGCTGGACACTCCCATCCTAGCCACACACACACACAAACACTGCCCCCCAAGGTCAAACACAACTTTGATGTGGCCCTCAATGAAATCGAGTTTGACACCCCTGGTTTAGAACATTGGGATGGATGGGTAGAGAAGCAAAATGGCTGCCTTAAACTTTCCTCGCTCCCTCCAGAGGACCTGATTCCACCCTGCTTTTTGAAGTATGGTCTTTCTCATACCCTTCAACCTGACCAAAGTTGCTTATTCCTGGTCACATGCATCTGGGAAACCTCCCGTGAGATCATATCAACAGAGCATCATCATGAAAACTGCATCAACGATACCATTTGCTTGATGATGTCATCAGTGAGACACTTCCTTGCCTGATGTCATTCCTACTCCTTCTGGAGTTCTTGACCACCAAAACTAGTGGCACAGAGGATGGCCTAGTGTTGTGGCCTGTCAGCCGCCGGCCCTTCCAGCAGCTGAATCAGAGAAGGAGGAGGAGGAGGTGTGGGAGTCAGGGTCAGCATCAAGACAACCTGAGAGCTCCAAGGGGGAAGAAGGAATGGAGCTGTCGGGGGGGGGGGGGGGGGGGAGAGAGGGAGAGGGAGAGAAAGAGAGGCAGAGGTGGAGCCTGTCAGCCCTCAGATGGAGAGTCAACAGTCCCCAGGTCTGGCAGTGGCTGATGGAGAAGAGGAGGAACAGCTGGGTCCAGTGCCTGATGCATGGCTGCGCAGAAGGCAGAGGAGAGGAGAGCAGTGGAAATCCATGGGCTGATCCTCAGGATGGAAGAGCAACTGCTGCTAGCGAAGCCACACCCTAGCTCTGGGGATAAAAGGCAGGGGCCAGAGATGAATAGGTGGCAGACAACTATCCATCTCCCTGCAGGACAGACTTGTTAGCCTGTGGTGAAAATAACTTTTTTGCCAGGGCTGCTGGTGTCCTAATAAAGGAATCCTTGCTTCAACTACAGAGGGTCTGTCGTGTTTAGGGAGTTGGGTCAGTTAGGGAGTAACACATAGGTTTTGGTTGTCAAAAAGTCACCCATCCCCTATCTGGAAGATGTGGCCTTCAAAAGATGCATGAGCCAGTGAGTTTATGCTTGTCCCATAAGTGATACAGACTAAGAACCGGAACTTTCTTCTCTTGCTACTGGAGGCATCCTTAGTAAGACCATCCTGTCCCCTTATTTGCTACAGGTGGCTGGTACACCGGGCCGAGGCTGTCCAAGCGGTTCCAAGAAAATCTGATGATATTTACTAACTCTCTGGAAACAATAGCCCATATTTGGGGTACGTGCGATCCTTCTTGGCCATACAGGAGTGCATGGTGTGACATGAGATTTTCATCCTACATGAGACACAACCTTTGACCACCGCCAGTCATCGTTCCCTTACCAGATTCCTTCATGCCTTCAACCATGGCAGAGCTTCTAATGTAGTTGAGAAGTTCTTCAAAATGCAGGGAGATATTCAGAGGTGTATCACATGTTGAAAGTATCACATGTTGAACTGTACAGCACAGTCAAACATCAACAGTTGACCGCAGGAATTGTTCCGTGGTGTTTTGTATTTCGTTATAACATGTTTTATGATAATTTCATGTTGCAAAGTGTGTTATAAAATTTCCCAAATTCTAACTCTATGGGAGTCACGCTTGCTAGATTTTGGACAGACTCTGTTAAGTTAGCCAATTTAAAGTACCTTAATTGAAAAAGGTTTTGCCCTACCATATGCACCATTTTAAGGGATGTGGTGGCTCAGTGGCTGAGACGCTGAGCTTGTCGATCAGAAAGGTCGGCAGTTGGGTGGTTCGAATCCCAAGCGCCATGTAACGGAGTGAGCTCGCGTTCCTTGTCCCAGCTTCTGCCAACCTAGCAGTTCAAAAGCATGTAAAAATGCAAGTAGAAAAATAGGAACCCCTTTGGTGGGAAGGTAACAGCATTCTGTGCGCCTTCGGCGTTTAGTCATGCCGGCCACATGACCACGGAGACGTCTTCGGACAGCGTTGGCTCTTTGGCTTTGTAACGGAGATGAGCACCACCCCCTAGAACCAGAAACGACTAGAACGTATGTGTGAGGGGAACCTTCACCTATATCTTTATGTCTAGTTAAAGGTTACAGACACAAGAATTTTAATAGTATATAGCTAGATTTTTGCAATCCTTTGGGATTCAACTATCCCTGTGACTCTTTCATTTCTCTCTCACCATTGAGAATTTAGGGCAAGTTTATATCCAGCCTCGAGACCAGAAAACTATTTAACTTTTCATCTTTAAGATTGAGGAATTAGAGGATGTGGTTCATATCACATGCAAAGCCACGCTGTATGTTGGTTGAACATTAGTAGAGAAGGAACAGGCTAATTGTATTTATTTTTCATTAAACATAAGAGAAATTAAATTTATTTTTGTCTCCTGGCCTCACCAGTTACTTTTTGGATTGTAGGATTCATGAGGCTACTAACAAAGCCAAGTACAGTCCTCTACCTAGACAAACAGTGCACATTCAGGGAACGGTTATGTAAACAAGTAAACAAGGGTTGAACAAGCCATGGCTTGTGAGGTTTGTGAATTCAGACTAAATGCACTGAACATCAGCTTCTCTCTTTGCAGGTGTTCCCGAGAAGGTGGGCTTTTATTTCCTATGTGGGGTTTCTACAGGACTGATCTTTCTCCTCCTCTTCTTTGCCCCCAAAACAACCTTCTTGCATGACTTCAAAGGGGCCTTCAAAAAGGCAGATGTGACTGAGTCCTTGCAACTGGAGACAACAAAGTTACAGGATGACCAAGATGAAGAAAATCGGGAGGAAAGCTCTTCTGAATCTTCTTTCAGCCATCTTACCTCCAATTACCGGAACACCAACATCTTTGGGCCGGAACTGACTGCAGCCTTGGAAGGGGCAGCTGATCAAAGAGGCCACGAAGGCGATGAAATTTGGATCCCCAAGGAATCCAGCCCATATGCCATCCACAAAATTAAGGCGGCCACCAAATGAGAAGGACTAACATTGGAAGTTGGGCAGAGTGAGCTGCGCTGGGTGAACACAGGTAGTCCTTCATTTAATGATCACAATTGGGACCAGGAGTTCTGTTGTTAAGCAAAGCAATCAGAGCTGAAGAAACTTCTTGGATGAGAAGCAAAACATCTTCAAAAGAAAAAAACAAGAAACTCCAGTTGCCTCCTGAAAAAAGCACCTTAGGGACAACCAAGACCTGGATGACTGAGAATCTCTACATACTTTTAGCTATACAATTTGGGATTGAACACCCTTCGAATGATGTGGGAGTAGGAATGGATTTCCAGAGGGAGGAAAAATTGCAGACTACAGGAACCATTTGCACTACTCAGGTCACCCTGAGGACACAGATACACCTCCAAGTGGCCTCAACGACTCTCTAAAAAAGATGCAAATGACCAGCTGCCTGCAAGGAATATAAATCCTTCCATTCCCCACCATCCAGTCAGAGCCGAAGAAGCTTCTGGGGTGAAAAGCGAAACATCTTCAAGTAAAAACCAAGAAGTCCAGTGGCCTCCTGAAAAAAGCACCTTTGGGTCAGTGCAGTTAAGTGAATCTCAGTCATTAAAAGCAAAATCCGGCTTCCTCCATTGACTTTGATTGTTGGAAGCTGGAAAAGTTGCAAATGGTGATCGCATGCCCCCCCCCCCCCCCGTGGGATGCTGCAACCATCATCAATACATACCAACTGCCAAGAATCTGAATTTTGACCATGTGACCGTAGGGATGCTCCAATGGTTATGAGTAGCAATGGCAACAGCAATAGCCCTTAGACTTATATACCACTTCACAGTGCTTTACAACCCAGTGAGCGGTTTATAGAGTCAGCCTCCAACAATCTGGGTTCTCATTTTACCCACCTCAGAAGGATGGAAGGCCGAGTCAACCTTGAGCCTGGTAAGATTCGACCTGACCAATTGCAGTCAGCCAGCTTTCAGCAGAAATAGCCTGTAGTACTGCACTCTAACCACTGTGCCACCACGGCTCATACATGGTGTATGTCATTTTTTTCCGTGCTGTCGTAACTTTGAACACTCGCTATACAAATGGTTATAAGTGGAGGACTACTTGTATGTGAACTACATACTACTTGTATGTGAACAGTGGGCCCAGATACCTGCTGTATCCAGAAGATTTCTTGCAGATTCAGGGCCAGCTCCTTTGGCCACGTTTACTGAAAACAATGCTAATCATGTAACGTTCTATTTTCAATATAATTTTCAATATAATGTCGTATGGGGGAAATTCATCAGAGAAAGGTATTATGTTTGGAAAAATTAGCAATAAAAGGAAACCAGGCCACCAAGAACACGGTAGTGGAACACCATCAAAGCGCACACCAGCCAGAGCATAGAACAACTCAAAAGAAGTAGTGCAAGATAGATGTGGAGAGACCTGGCCCACAGAATCACCAAGAGTCGGACACGACGGAATGGATAACATCATCATTATATCTTCAATCTATATGTTATTAGGTTGCTAGGAGTTGGAGGGGAAAATGTGTAAATTCTCCCCTTCCAAATGATGTCAGCCATGTAGGGAAGCCAGACCTGGGGGTGTGTTTAAACCCTGAAATTATGTCAATAAAAACAACTTGGAAGTTGACCTGCCACCCCTCAGGAGACACCAAGGTTGGCAGAAGTCTAGACTGTTTACTTTTAGGTTTCTCTTGCTTATTTTGTGTAGTGAACGGTGGATGTCTGCCTCAAACTTTTATCCTAATAGCCCCAAGGATAGGTGAGATGAACATGCCTTTTAGCATTCAGAGGCATGTGATTCTTTTTTCCTGCATTTTCCATTAGTGCCATTTGTGTGTATTACATTTCTTGCATTCATAACCTGACCTAAAACTTTAATGTGTGCATTCACATAAAAATAACCAACAAATTGATGTTTAAGCTGTGTGAAAATCATATTCTTTCAAAATGGTTTTTTAAAAAAACCAAAAACACCTCATTGCTGTTTGTGCTACATCATTCTTCATATGGATTTTAGTGTGCAGTGTTATTAAAACTGGGTAATTTCAAACTGACATTGGCAGTGTAAAAACCCAAAGACAACTTGAATCTTCTTCAAATATCTCAGATGACAGCTCCTGGTTTTGTCTTCTTTTTGGTCACTGACTGTCATGGTAGAAGCAGGTAGAAGAACCAGCTGTCAAAATATTTTACAAATTAACAGAGTTGGATGGGACCTTGTAGGTCATCTAGTCTAACCCCCCCGCCCAAGCAGGAAACCCTACACCATTTCTGGCAGATGGCAGTCCAATCTCTTCTTGAAAGCTTTCAGTGATGAAGCTCCCACAACTTCCGAAGGCAACTTCTGTTCCACGGGTTGATTGTTCTCACTGTCAGAACACTTCTCCTTATTTCTAGGTTGAATCTCTCCTTGATCAGTTTCCATCCATTATTCCTTTTCTGGCCTTTGGGTGCTTTGGAAAATAGCCTGACCCCTTCCTACTCTCTAGGGCAGCCCCTCAAATATTGGAAGACTGCTATCCTGTCTCCCCTGGTCCTTCTCTCCACTAGACTAGCCATGCCCAGTTCCTACAACCGTTCATCGTATCTCAGACACTAGATGAATATTGCTAGGCTACTGTTCCTTTGAACATGGAAAGAGGAATATCTGTATGGGTGGCAGCAGATGTTCCTCCAGATGGTGCTGTTTTCATAGCTTTATATAGCCTGTCATTTAGATTGATGAGGTTCAATCCAAAAAACATTTGGAGGGCCATACATGATTTGAGAAAAAAACCATCTTGATAGGGTTTAGCACATTTCCCCATCTCTTAAAAAAAAACCAAACAGGGAATATTTCCAAACGATATAATAATATTCGCACTGTTTCTTTCAGTGAAATCATCAGAGTGAAATCTACTTAATGGACCAGTTGGGGAGAGAAAAGATTCCATTACTGCCAAATGTTTATTGCATTACAAAGTGTTGGTGGTGATTTATGTCATTTGGATCTATTGGTGTCATTCATCTAATGCCATTATGTAAATGAAAATAGTGGCAATTGATGTAAAAATGCATGTAAATCAATGGGCTGGCCTGACACTTCCGTGAAGAGGCGTTCAGATGGAAATTTGGTCTCTTGAATCTGCTAAAAGAGGGGTCTTAAAATCAAGATTTCAACATTCATCTTTTCTCACCCCCTGGTTTTACTTATGGCTAGTTTAGTTTACTTTATTGTCATTGCACATCGTACAACCTTCTTCAGTGTACTACAGTATACAGTAGAATTCCACAGAGCTACCGCCCTGGGATAGAAGCTGTTTTTCAGCCTATTTGTCCTTGTTTTTATTATTATCCTGTACTGTCTGCCAGATGGTAATAGTTTAAAAAAAGGGTTCCCAGGATGAGAGGGATCTTTGAACTATAAAGCTCTTCCAAAGAGGGGAGAGGGCAACCCATGATCCTCTGGACAATGAGGTTAACCCTCTGGAGTGCTTTCCTATCTGCCACAGTGCAATTGGCAAACCATACAGAAGTGCAGTAAGTTAAGATACTCTCTATGGTGCAGCGGTAGAAGGTCGCCATCAGTTTTTCATTCAGTTTTGTATTCATTCAGACTATTCATGGTTTACTTGAACGATCCATCATAGGTCTCTTATTTATTCATTAGATTTATCTACTACCCATCTCACTATCGAGCAGTTGATCAGAGTACAGTTGTATACCTTATAGTTGTGCAGTCTTGTGTCGTTGGTATACAGCAAGAGATCAATAGAGATGCCTGTGCTTATGTGACTTTTCAAATGAAGGGGCATCATATATACACAAATAGTTAAAATGTTGTTGGCCCTAAAGCAGAGGTCTCCAAACTTGCCAACTTTAAGACTTGTGGACTTTTACTTCCAGAATTCTCCAGCCAGCATAGCAATTCTGGAAGTAAAAGTCCACAAGTCTTAAAGTTGCCAAGTTTGGGTACCGCTGCCCTAAAGAGATATGGTAGGTGGACACTGGCTTTACTTCCACAACTCTGAAAACAGTCATGAACTGTTTATTTCTTTGTTGTTGCTGTCCTCACCATATAGAAAGCTCAGATCTCTTCATCAAATGTCCAGTCAACAGGTCACTGAGCTACAATTCAGCATCCAAATTGTCTCCTGGTTTGTCCTCCAAGTCTCCTTCGAGGCCAAACTGACCCTCCTGCACTGCAGCTCAGCATTAATCACCTTACCTGCCCCTTCCCACCCCATCCTGGCTCACCTGTGTCAACGAGGACAACAGCAGGAATTATCCATCAAACTTGAACTGCTAAAAATGCTGCATAGATGTTACCTGGTTTGGGTAATGAAACATCTGCAAAGAAACAACCCAGCTTAGCGAGCATCAAGGACCCCTGAAGGAGAGTAGATTTACAGATTAACAGAGTTGGAAAGGACCTTGTAGGTAATCTAGTCCAACCCCCACCCCCACCCAAGTAGGAGACCTTACACCATTTCTGACAAATGGTAGCCCAATCTCTTCTTGAAAGCTTCCAGTGCATTTAGCCTTCGTCAGTTCTGTGTCTTCCAGCATCCCTGACATTAAGACATGGCAATGAGGCCATCAGGCAATCCTTTTAAAAGAAATTAATCAATGAATCCAACTTTCCCCAACTGAATGGAACTTGTAGTCTAAGAATACAAAATATAGATGTTTGCAAGCAATTGCAGGAATGTGAATGAGCCCGAATCTCAAAATATTCCATCCGCTGGAAAACCTCAAAACCATGTCTCCTATTTATTCTTTTCTATGAAAACCATTGACGCTTGGGATGGATGGCTGCCAACTCTCCCTCTCACTTTATGTCCAGCTGGTTCCAGGAGATTTCATCACACTGAGACAGCCTTTTAAGACATTTAGATCATGTATTTACCAAGCTTGCAAGGAGTAGAAAGTACAACATTCAGAAATATAAAAACTCTCTCTTATGCATTTCTGGATACTGTACAAGGGCAAGAATTAGGATTCAAAAGTAGATGTATGGTCTGCCTTTCAATTTCACATCACCATGCATCAAGGAATTTTTAAAAATGAAACAAAACAAAACTTTCTGTCTTGCAACTGGCTT